TGTCCTGTTTCCATGAACCTTGGGAGACTGACCTGAAAGCTTCATCTGTAGCCTGGCTATGCTATTTAACCTGGTTCAAGCCGTTATCCTTCCCTGAGCCTCTGTTTCTCTATCTGAAAAATAGGCTAAGGTAAAGTATAGGGATTGATGTGTTTTACCTTGCTCTTTCTCAAAACATTGGATGTTTTGAGGAAGGTGGAAAAGATCAGTATTCAAGAGCAAGAGATAGGGAACTGACTCAGCAGAGTAGGGGATGGAAGATAAAATTTAAGTACGGGAAGAGCAAGATGTAAATAGCAACCAGCAACTCTAAGGGAAATGCTGGGAGGAACGAAGAAGCAAGACCAGAGGAACACCTTGTGAACAAGTAACCCCTGACACCTCGGCAGCCTAGCAAGTGCTAACTCAGTGAATAGATCAAAGCCTTATTCTCTGAAAACATAGAGTTACAGAGACTCTGGGCTTTGTGGATTCCCAAGGCATAGTGTGCTACCATCTCCTGTTTCCACTGGATGATCACATTTCTTACTTTATCTTATCTCTGGGAATCTTAGACTGGTTCTAGCTGGACATGGTATTCTTGCTGAGTTCCTTACTAAGAGCCTTTTGACATTTAGGATCTCGAGGCCTGCAAGAGTCTTGAGTCTTAGCTATGGGAAACACAAAGATAGCAACTGAATTAATGTGATTATTGCTAAGCAAGACCATTCTTATTTGTACTCCTTGATTTCTAATACTACCTATACTTACGTATTGGAACCACGTTGACCAATCATTACCATTGCTTCAGTTTCCTATGGCATTCTTGAGGGTGCTTTGTCTTCAAGGGAACATGTCCAAGCTGCACCCAGAGCTAAACCTTTAAGATATTGATCTCTTTCTGACTTACTGGGCTGGCAGTGTCTGCAGGATACCATATTTGATAAAAGTAGGATTTGCCACAGTCATACCATTGCATCTGTAACTCTATTTCTGAAAGTTCAGTTACTAAATCTAAAGCAATGTTTTATGGCTTGTACATTTGCTATGGTGAGAAGATAGAATATTTCCTACCTGTTGCTCAGCTTCTGGAAGTTTATTAGTAATCATTATGTTAATCTGAACATAGGTAGATACATTGCCCAGATCCTTCCTACTCTTTCACATGACATTTTCCTGTGTGCATATATGCATACATGTTTCCATTTTATATGAGGATATATGTGTGTGTGTATTCATG